GATGGCCAGTGGAGTTCTGTTGGTTTCTCTTCTGGGCCTGTCTTGTAGCAGGAGGCTTCTGGGTACATGTCTGGCTCTGTTGATTTGTTTCTTTATTTCCTTGTGTGGAAATATATATATTTGGAAAACTGATATATACCTGCCTCTGGAGATTTCCATTACTTGCATCTGAAGAAGTGAGGTTCTTACCCACGAAAGCTTATGCTCCCAGTACTTCTGTTAGTCTCAAAGGTGCCACAGGACCCTCTGTTGCTTTTTACAGATTCAGACTAACACGGCTACCCCTCTGATATATGCTGGATTGTCATCTGAGACTGCCATAACATGAAATATAAGGCAGAAAGCGGGTAAAACCATGGAGCAGGAGACATACAATTCTCCTCCAAGGAGTTCAGTCAAATTTAATTAATGCATTTTTTTTTTTAACAAGTATCATCAGCATGGAAGCATGTCCTCTGGAATGGTGGTCAAAGCATGAAGGGGCATATGAATGTTTAGCATATCTGGCACGTAAATACTTTGCAATTCTGGCTACAAAAATGCCATGCAAACGTCTGTTCTCACTTTTAGGTGACATTGCAAACAAGAAGCAGGCAGCATTATCTCCCATAAATATTAACAAACTTGCTTGTCTTAGCGATTAGCCAGGGCCGGCTCCAGGCACCAGCTTAGGAAGCAGGTGCTTGGGGCGCCAATTCAAAGGGGCGGCACTCCGTCCGGTATCAGGGCGGCACGTCTGGGTCTTCGATGGCAATTCGGCAGCGGGTCCCTCATTCCCTCTCTTCCTCTTTGAGCTGCTGCCCAATTGCCGCCGAAGAGGAAGAGAGGGAGGACCTGCCGTCGAAGAAGCCGCACGATTTAGCTGCCGCCGAAGTGCTGCCACTCTGTTTTTTATTTTTTTTAATTTTTTTTGCCACTTGGGGTGGCAGAAAAGTTGGAGCCGGCCCTGCGATTAGCTGAACAAGAAGTAGGACAGAGAGAGCCTACAAATCCAAAAGTTTTACAATGTTTTGTTTTTGAGTGCAGTTATGTAACAAAAAAATAATAATTCTACATTTGTAAGGTGCACTTTCAAAATAAAGAGATTGCACTACAGTACTTGTATGAGGTGAATTGAAAAATACAATATCTTTTCTTTTTACAGTGCATTTAATCAAATATAATATGAAGTGAGCACTGTACACTTTATTCTAGGTTGTAATTGAAATCAATATACTCGAAAATGTAGAAAACATTCAAAAATATTAAAATAAATGGTATTCTATTATGTTTTAATGGTGCCATTAAAACTGATTAATTGCAATTATTTTTTTAAATCTTATGATTAATTTTTTAATAGCTCGATAGTCCTAATATTTAGGTACCTAATTTCCATTGAAAGCACTAGGAATTAGGCATCTTAAAGATCGTTGAGGATCTGGGCCTAAGTGCTTAGTCCCATTCATTCTCCTGTATTAATTGTTATTCTGAGGAGTCGCTGTCTCAAATTTCCTTCCTAGAAGAGTCACTATGGCCTGAAAACCATCAGCTTTTGCCAGGATTTGTTCAAACCCTTCTCTTACTGACTGGCCCTGCCCTGGCAGAGTCTGCTTCATTTCTGCTTTCTGAAATGGCGCTGGCACCCCTCCTGATTCTGTTGAACGCATGTGTATCTGGGGATGAGGTAGGGGAATACTGCTGCCTTGTTTATAAAGCTGGGCAATGAGTAAATCTTGCCTTGGCTAACAAAAGTGAGAATTCTGTAGACTTTGTATCTGTTTTTCAGTTGCACTGTCAAAAGTCCTCGGAAGAAATACTAAAGCATAACCTCTATGCTGGAAGCTAGGCTTCACCCCAATCTCCTTTTAAACAAACAAACACACAAATAATAAACACACACACTACACTTTTTATGCTGGCTTTTCAGCTTCAAAGAGACACTGTCTACTTTACTTTTGTTTAAAAAAATAACCAACTTCTTGATAATTCTACTGATTTGGAGATATATATGTATTATCCCAGTTCAAATCTCTAAATCAGTTATTCCAATGCAAACTAATGTCTTCAAGAAACATTTGCAAGTCAACCGCTCTCCTGTTTTACTGCAAAGGAACAATCTATTTTAACATATTGACATTTCAGTTTCATATTCTGTAGCTACAGGAGCAGGTTTCATTAATAACTACATTTATATTACACTAGTGCCTGAGTAGGGTTAGTTTGTACTAGATACTCCAAAAACATAGAAAGACATGGCCCTTGCCCTGAGCAGTGTTTTTAAATAATAAACTGCAAGCAATTAGGTTCTATTACCAAGATGAACGAGTCTCACATACAACAAATATTTTCTGGCAAAGCAATCCTAGTGGTTCTCTGCATTTGTAAACATTTCCTTACTTTGCTCCAATACCCTTGAACAATGTGGGCTTCCATCTTTCTTTGTGTTTTTATTCCCTAAGGCAGAGACAAACACTGAGAATGCAAGATTATTTGTCAAAATTTCTTTCTCCTCACAGGTTGTGCCGAAATGGCAGAACATTATGTTAAGCCACAGTTGTACAAGGGAAAACTAAATGAATATTGTCAAAAGAATAAATTACAACTTGAGTATAAGGATGTCAAAGTGGAAGGCCCTCCTCATGATCATGTGTAAGTTCACAGTGCATGCCGATAAATATTACAACTTATTTTAATGTGAGACTATGTAAAGTGCTGTGTAAGTACTGCAGCAGTGCTTAAGTGGTTATAGCTTGTAACTAGTCCTTGCAACAGCCCTAGAAATTGGTGGGTAGGAATATAACTTTTTGTTCTGAAGCGTGTGTGTGTGGGAGGAGGTGGTGTCAGGGAGCAGGAAAAGGTATTTATTATTACTGTGGTAGTGCTTATAGGCTGTAATCAAGAATCCGGGTACTGCTGAGCTAAGCACTGTACATGCACACATCAAAAAGTCAGTCCCTGCTCCAAAGCCCTTTAGACTGACCTCACACTTGGTAAAGCAACCCCCATCCTTTCATGTATTTATACCTGCTCCTGTATTTTTCACTTCATGCATCTGTTGAAGTGGGTTCTAGCCCACGAAAGCTTATGCCCAAATAAATTTGTTAGTCTCTAAGGTGCACAAAGACTCCTCGTTTTTTTTCTTAAAATCTCGGTAAGAGTTTACGTATTAGAGTCGTCATACAATATTGTCTTTGCATTTCTGCTGCACTTGCAGATTTTAAAAGACTAATGAAGTTGAGTAGCTCTCTCTGTGAGCAGTTTGTGTAAAATGGTGTATTGTGGATGTAAAGTCTCAGAACATGCATACTAACATTAGGAGCTTATAAGGAGTTGGCTAACAAGCTCCTGTCACCCTTGGGCAAAATCTGTTTCCTTCTCTCATTTCCATCTTTGTGTTTTTTCCCCCCCCCCATGTTGTCCCCGGTGTGTGGAATAACTAGCAAAACTAAACATCCCATGTCCCTCCACTCTTCTCAACGAGATCCTTCTTAAACATTGACTTCTGTAATGACCACCAGCACTAACCCACATCATATTCTTTTTTTAATCCTAACATTTCATCAGAGTACTAGAGAGTGAAATTGGAATAGCAAATATAAACCTCTAAAATCATTTCTCTAAGGCCTTGACTACACTACGCAGTTAGGTCGATGTAAGCTGTCTTATGTCGACCTAATAATGTCTGTCTCTACACTACTTCCCTTCCGTCAATGCAACTCACCTGCTACGTCGACTCAATGACTCCACCTCCATGAGAGGCATAATGCTTAATTTGACATAGGTAGGTCGACGTAGTGGCAATATAGACACTGCGCTGCTGACTTCAACCTAACTGGGCTCCAGGAAGTGTCCCACAATGCTCCGCTGCAACCGCTCTGGCCACCGTTCTCAACTCTGCTGCCCAGCAGCCAAGTATGAAGGAACCAGCCCGTCCCCTTTAAAAGGACTAGGAACTTTTGAATTTCTATTTCCTGTTTGTTTGGCGTGGAGTGCTTGCCTGCCCAGCTGATCATGAGGGCAGGGCCGGCTCTGGCTTTTTTGCCCCCCAAGAGCAGCGTGGATGCATCTGAGAAGTTGGAGTCCGAGGCCACTGCAGGCAACACTGAGGAGGAGTCTTGGACGAGGAGAATGGGAGACAGGCGAGCGGGCGATTCATTGTCCCAGAGAGCCAGGATCTGTTTGTAACCGTGGAGCAGTCCAGCCAGTCACAGCACAGCAACATGGCAGAATGTGATGCCAGGGCAGAAGCCTCTGGTGAGAACGCAATTCCAATTAATATTTTGGAGTCACGTGTTCTTATATGCAATTTTTTTTATTTAAAAAAATCAGTTGAGGTAGAGTGGCTATTTGCTTCCCAGTGGCCACACCAGCTTGGCAGAGGGTGCCCTGAGAAAAAGACTTCGTACACAGGGATGGCCTGGGAATCCTCCATAGAGATCTCCAGGAAACTTTCATGGAGGTACTCTGCAATCCATTGTAGAAGGTTTCTATGGAGGGTTGCCTTATTTCTTCCACTTATTTCTGGTAGGATACTTTCCTGTGCCACTCCAGTATTAATTCAGCTGACATCATCGCAGTACACAGCATAGCAGCATAAGGACACTGTCTGTACCTGGATGCTTGGAGCAGCTGTTACCCTCAGGAGCATAATATCAGTTAGGGTCACCTACGGGAGATGGTGGTCATTTTCCGTTGCTCAAACCATAGTAACTGCGGTCACCCCCCTAGTGATTTTTTCCCCCCTTTTCCTCCATGCTTTACAAAACATGGCCATAGTTTGGGTGACAGGGGTCTCTGTTGACCCCAGAAACTGCAAGCCTCAGGCGCCAGAAAGCAGTAGCGGCAATGGGGAGGGAAGGAAAATGTTGTGGTGGCCACACACCACAGCAAGCCCTCCCCCCACATCGCTTCTGCAAAGGTTTGCCGTTTGGGGGGGGGGAATGCTGGTCCCTGACCTCCAGACAGTGTCCATGTTACAAAGAGGAGGTGGCATGGTCCCCTGGCCAGCTCCAGTACTGCCACAGGTTGCCCACCCAATGCTGGTGACGGTCTGGTGCTCATGCCCCCGGGTCATAACTCACCATGACTGGGACAGCAAACCGGTTCAATGAATACCTTGCAGAAATGAAAATGTTCTGCTTTACACTTGCGTGGATTCAGGGGAGTGATTTTTATATAGCATCTCTGTGCTAGACCCTACGTCTGCACTGACAGTGGTTCCTTTGTGCTTTGCATGGTTTACAGTGCAAAGTGTAGCTTTCAGCTTTTCCTCCACACCAGTGGAGAGGATCTCCCAGATAAGATGAAGGCGTGATGACATGTTTAATGAGATAGTGAACACCTCTGGGATGTGTGGACGCTGAGCAGAGGGCGTGGAGATAGCTCTCTCTGAAAAAATGGATGTGGGCAGGAGAGAAGCCCAGGAGAATGAGCGTGGCATGCAGCAGGAGATGCTGGTCATTCTGAAGGAACAGACGTGTCGAGGCATCCAGTTGACCTTCAGGAGAAACACCTTGAGGCTTGATTCCCTCTGTAGCCCCTGCAGAATGGCATTCCAACATCTCCATACTCCCCCTCCCCCCTCACACATGTTCCACTAGGCAAGGGCGGACAGTGCAATATCCTTTCCACTCAACCCCAGGGGAGGGTGCCAAGAATAACAGCCGCACATAGGCAAGGCAGCTGTGCTTTTAAAGACAAGATGGATGTGTTTTTGTCCCTCACAACTTTATTCCACTCTCTTTCCAAGGTTCATTGCTTTTGTTAGATCTTTCGGTGTTTATATCTGTGTGTAATAAAAGTCCATGTCTTGAAAATTAAATCATCTTTATTAATTCAAAGCCTGAGGGTGGTAGGGGAGGGGTAGGGAAACTGAGGCACTGGGAAGGATGTGCACGAGAGAAACACTCAAGGGTCAGACTATGGGTAGGCACAATACAGAAAAGCAGTGCACGTTACTGTGGATCATTACTAAAACAGGTTTTCAAAGCCTCCCTGAGATGGATTGCTCCACTCTCTACTCATCTTGTAGCTCTGGTATCTGGCTGCTTTAAAATTAGCAGACAGCCTGTCCACCTCCATGCCCCACCCCTGCGAAAACTTCTCTCTCTTTGCTTCACATGTATTATGAAGCACACAGCAGGCAGCTATAGCCATGGGGACAGTTTTTTTCAGCAAGGTCTAACCTAGTGAGCAAACTGCGCCAGTGACCCTTCAAATGGCCAAAGGCACATTCAACCACCATTCTGCACTTGCTGAGCCTGTTGTTGAACCACTATTTGCTACTGTCCAGATGTTTGGTGTATGGCTTCATGGGCCATGGGAGTAAAGGATAGGGTGTCTCCCAGGATCACTATGGGCATTTCAACACCACCAATGGTGATTTTTATGGTCTGGAAAGAAAGTTCCTGCTTGCAGCTTTCTGAACAGACTGTGTTCTTAAAGATGCATATGTCATATACCTTCTCAGACTATCCGGCATTGATGTCAGTAAAATACTCCCGGTGCTGCACCAGCGCTTGCAACATCATAGAAAAGTATCCCTTTCTCTTTATTTACTTTTTGGCAAGGTGGTCTGGTGCCAAGATAGGGATATGCACATCATTTATCGCCCCACTGCAGTTAGGCAACCCCATTGTGGCAAAGCCATCAAGTATGTCCTTCACATTGCATGGAATCACTACCCTCCTTAGCAGAAAGTGATTAATGGCCCTGCATAGATCACAACAACACCCACGGTGGATTACCAATTCCAAATTGATTCCCCACTGACTGGTACAAGTCTGGCATTGCAAGCTTCCACACAGCGATTGCCAGTTGCTTCTCCACTGTCAGAGCAGGTCTCATTTTAGTGTTGCTGTGCAGCGAGGCTGGGAAGAGCTCCACACGCAGTTTTGTATGTGCAAGGCCACTTTCCAGGACGTTCTGCAGCCACTGCTCGTCATCCCATACCTGCATAATGATGCGATCCCACCAGTCAGCGCATGTTTCTTGGCACCAGAGTCGGCGTTCCACCATGTTCAGTTGCTCCACGACTGACAACAGCAACTGGGAATTGTTTCATTCCATAGCTTCCAGCTGGGAATGTTCCGTGAAGCAGTTCCTCTCGCGGCCCTGGAAATACTTCAGGATAAGGCCTATGCTCACCACAATAGTGCACAGCTGAGTGGGGTCCATGTTTCTCCGGAGATGGTGTATGTCAGCTATGCCCGCCTTTTTAAAAAAAGGCATGAAATATTGTGGGCTGCCGATGAAATCAGGGGAGGGAGAAAACTGAATCATGGGACGTTAAAGCCATGTTCCCAGTCACTGCTGTGAGAGTGTTTTAGTCCTATGAGGCATTGTAAGCCTTTCCCAACCCCCCCTGCGGCGAGTTGCACCGTGGGATAGCTACCCACAGTACACTGCTCTCTGCATTGATGCAAGCGCTGCTAGTGCGGATGAGCTCCACGGACACAAAGAGTGTGGTGTGGACACGCACAGCCAATTTAATTACTGCAGCAGCTGGATGTCTATTTAAGTCGACTTCAGTTTGTAGTATAGATGTGCCCTTAGTAAAATAATGATGCAGTGGCAGACCAAGGGTGGATGTCATTTCGTTTATGTAACCAAGGCAGGCCGGCCTTCTCTTTTCCCGCAATCTGGAGCAGTGAAGAGCATCCTGGTGTTAGGCCCCTCCAAGTCCTGGACATGTATCAACAGATTCAAGCTTATCCATCGCAATCTTAATGCACTCTTCAGTGCTTTTGTAAAGCAGCTCGGTGTTTATAAATGTTATAGTATGAACATGTGATTAAGGAAGAGGGAAGATATTATTTATAAGAACACTTGAAGCTTCCAAAGAATTTTGAAAACGGGGTTTGGGAGATGATAAACACCTGAATACTTAAGTACTTGCATAACATTTCATAGTGCTCTAAAGATAAATGAACAATGGAATCTTGATAAGGTTCTTAGGCATATGCCACAATTCAGCTGTGTTCAGTGAACAGTTTTCTTTATTTCAGGTTCACTGTCATGGTTGTAATAGGTGACAGAGAGTATCCTGTAGCTACAGGTAAAAAAAAGAAAGAGGCAAAAGAAGAGGCCGCAAAGGCAGCATGGGATAGCATAGCACAGGAAAATCAAGTAAGTAAACAACATCTTTTGTTTAAAAGTAAATGATAAACTATCATTGTTTTGTTTGGGTCAGAGGGCTTTGAATGGGTCATCTTCTAATGTAGCCCCTGAATCATGGTATAGGCAATTCAAATGGTCTCTAAACTCTGAGTGACAGGTGTCTGTCTAGTCTAGAAAATCGTTAATTAATGGCAATTCTACTACATGTCAAAGCCAAAACTAAAAACCTCTAGTCCTGGTTTGTGGGACCAAAAAGCCCAACAGTGTGACTAGATATCACCTGCTCTTTTTAGAACATCCTCTTTCCTATTTGTAAAAAGACATTTTTCCAGACCAAGTGGATCTATTAGAAATTTCTCTGTTGGAAAAGAATGTCCTTTTATAACATTCCATTAGAGTTTTTTCCAGACTTTTAATTCTTTTTTATATTCTTTACAGTTATTTTTGGAAAAGATATTCACATCAGTCAAGAACATTTAAAAAAAATCAGTCTCCACATTATAGTTTAGAAAAAAATGTTTAGTTTCAGAACCACAATGGGGGGGGGGGGGGAAGTGAAAGGGATAAATTGATGCTAAATACAACCTGTTAAATTGAGGTATTACTGGAAAGGTAAATAAAATTATATTTAAAAAAAAATCTGCAAGTCTGTCATATAGACATCTTCTTCTAACAAGACTCTTCTTTTCAAAGATGTTGAATAAACATGACCCAAGAGCTAAATCCATCTTCATCTGACCATATATTGCAGAATGAAAGTGCTTCCAGGAAAATAGGCTGTAAGAAGGAGTTGTGATCTGAAAGTTCATTATAGTCCCATTTTCTAGGCATACATTTTCAAACTAAATGTCTCCAATTAAACTTTTTCATTGATCGTCTCTAAGCAACAAATTACACTTGGGGGACACAAGTGAATCCAGAATACCAAATATTAAACACTTCATGCAAGGCATATTTAATCTCTCTAGCAAGTTACATTGTATTTCTCTGTCAGTAGAGAGTGAGAGGCATTTTGTCAGACCTCACTGAATTCTCCCTTTTGAGATGTAGTGCCCTGAACTGAACAGAGCAAGATAATTAATCATTTTCATGTGGTAGTCCTGTTAAAATATGTCATTTGTGTTTATTGCAATACTCATTATTTCTCATTACTGAAATATATTACATTTATTGTTCACAATGGCCATAACTGGGGTTAAGGAGTTGAATGGTGAAGACTGTTTTATGGAGCTGCCGAGTAGAGCTGGCTGGAAAGCTTTCTTGTTTTGTTTGGTTCTCCTCACCCCAGAGGAAAATCTTGTGGATTTTGGCCAAAAATCAAAAACTGAAATATTTCAATTCTGAAATGCCACTGTGGTGCCTCCTTGGGAGTTGTAGTTTGGATGTCTCGTGTTTTGTGTAGGCTGGGATCCCTGATCAGGATTGCATCTCTTATGATGAACCATAGAATTCCTTTTGGGTCAGGGGGAGGCAGTTCATCCTGGCAGCTCAATGCCTGTGGCGCATCATGGGAGATGAAGTCTAGCTGTAGAGCCTGGCCCATAGAGGAGAATGGGAGCATGAGGTACCTGAATGACAACTTCCACAAGAGACAGAGGCTGCATTTCAGAATTGAATTATTTCAGTTTCTTCCTGACCTCCTCTTTTTAGCATTCCAGGGAGCGAGCAATATTTCTGCAAGGCCCATGTGTACTTCACAGTCCTGTATAGAATGTATATTTCTACCTGGTGCATCTCATGAATGCAATAACTGGAAGGAGGTGTTTTGCAAACAGAAAAGCGCTCTGTATTGGTTGGTGTCCAAACATGGGATGCGGAACAATGGCCTGTCATGGAAACAAATAGTCTAACTGAATAAGAACCATACTCAAAACAACAATGTTCACTAGGCCAAACCTGCACTGAGTCAAGTTCCAGTCGGAGCTTTATTTTATGTGAATGACTATTGCTTGTGGGGAAAAATGCTGGAACAAGAGGTTTAGCTACTGTAGGTTCAGTACCAGCATTACAAGTATTCCCCCTACGCTGCCTCATCCTTGAACTGTAGGGACCTCATTAAGGGGTTGGAGGAGAGTACTTCAGTCTTCAGGTACTTGCAGATACTCTCTGCAAAGAGGTTAAAAGCTGAAACTGGTGGAGATGGTGATTATCGTGTATGGATACCTAGTGAGAGCAGTTACTCACTTCAGTGGCCACAAAACAGTCATCAAATGTTAATTTGATCAGGATTCAAACTTAAATAACTGCTTGTCTTTAGATACAAAAGGCACCGAGCACAGAACTAAGGGAATTCAGCCTGACACCTACGCATCCTAATGTCATTCAATACTTGCTAGTAGGTGAAAGCCTGTGCTGTCACATGGGTCTATGCATAAAGTCATGTGTGTAAAATGGCTAAGACTTTAAACATTGAATAGTAACAGATGGTGAATCCCAGTGGTGATTGAACCTGGTCATATTCCAAATAAAAAAAGCTCTCAACTCTGCTTGTAGCTGTTTCCATCACTTTGTGCTGATTGAACAGAGATTCTAGGCTTCAGCGTGAGTCACCGGCAGGTGACAATCCTGAAATCTTCTTATATAGATTTGTTGATTATAAACTTCTTTGCAAAATCTACAATGGGATAGTAATTATCCAGGATGGCTCTCTGCTTTACAGGGCCAGTACACCCCATTAGTGGCGATTGTGAAGTGGTTTATTTTTAAAACGTGAAATGTCTATAACGGTTGGTTAAGGATTCACAACCCCTGCAGTTATACCAGCACTCTCATAATGCTCATTTGGTGCTATTTGGTAACTTCAAACCTTTCAAGCTATGCATATTTTGTATATTTATTTTGTAGACTAAACGGGCTTCACTCCCACAAACTCCACCGCCGCAACCATCGCCGCAACCATCGCCGCCGCCACCACCATCATTGCCAATAGCGTTTTCATCATTGGAAGAGATACAGCCACTTGACTATATCTCCATGCTTACCAAATATGGACTAAAACATAACATAATGATTGACTATAAATTAGCAGATGAATCTGGACCAGCCCATAAAAAAACGTAAGATGTAGTTAATGTTGTTAATTCCTTCTGCTTCTTCTCTCTATTTGCCTGCTCTGTTGTTTCTTTACGTGGATGCTTTTAAATGAGTCTCCAGAACTGCAATCATGTACTTGCTGCTAAAGTCAAAGGGATCTGTCACAGTGACCTGCTTGAGGAAAGGGCATTTTTTTGTATCTGTTACTGGAATGAGATCTACCCACAATTGAAACCATAGTGGGAGGAATTAAAAGTGAATTGAATCCAGATAGCGGTGGAACTATTCCAATATCTGTTTCCTAATAACTGCTCCCAAAAGAATGATATTTAGCAAGGTATATCTTCTTTAAAAATATTGACAGTTTGTGACATTGCCAGTGCATGACCCCCTAATTACTCCCTTACAAATTTCTGATCAAATCAGCTTTTGAGATTGGTTTAACAGTCCTATAAACCAAGGAATTAAACCTGTTACCATTGAAGTCACTGAGAGTTGTTACTGCTTTCATAGAGAGCTGAATAAGTTCCCAACTGCTAAAACACAATCTTCAAAGGAGAAAACATGGCTATTTGTACATTATGAGAAGCAAAACAATTCATAAAGGAAGCCTTGCTTTCAGTCTCAGGGCTGGCTCTAGGCTTTTTGCCGCCACAAGCAAAAAATTTGCCGCAACTGCCCAAGCAAAAAAAAAAAAAATGCCGCCCTTGGAATTGTGCCACCCCAAGCACGTGCTTGCTTTGCTGGTGCCTAGAGATAGTCCTGTTCAGTCTTGTCCAAAGGAAGCCTCAGCAAACAGCCTTTGCTGTAGCTAGCTGGTATCTGTGCAGAAGTATGCTACTTCTGAAAAACATCTGGCAGTTGATTCCTCAGTTTCACCTTACTTCCGGATTGGGGCTTGATTCAGCAGCTTCCTAGTTTAGAAGACAACAAAACTCTTCTTTTCCTTCTGATTCTTTTTGTGGCTTCTCTAATTAAGGCTCCTTCCTTGCCTATCAGACCTTAGCTTTCAGATCCTGCTTCCAAGTCCTGGTGACTCTGGTAATCCTTAAGGGGTAGGTTTCTTTTCTCTGCCCATTGAAGGGGTTTAACCCTTTTGTGCTTCATCCAGGAATGGAGCACAGATACCCCATCACAGAGACAATACTGAAACTTGATAGAATGATAAAACAATGGTGGCATAACTTATTACTTTTATTACAGAAGCATCCAGATGTCACTGTTATAACCATTGTCCCATTGTACAAGGCATTGTGCATTCAGTAGAAAACAACAGCCCCCGTCCCAAAGAGTTCAAAGTCTAATTGAGATTAGTCATAATAAGTGGGTGTAGATCATGAAAGAGGAATTAGGAAAGAAACAGGTAACAGTTATAAGAATACATGGTTATATAGATTAGCTATAAGCTTAACTTACAAAATTGTCAAATTTGTTTAAATAGTTGCATGAGTAGCTCCATTGACTTCAGTGGGACTACTTACGTGAGTGAAAATAAGCATGTACACATATACTGGATTGGGGCTTTCATGTAAGCTCTTTGGATCAGAGATTGTCTCTTTTTATATATTCACATCATAGTAGCCATCTTACTGTAAAATTCGAATGGAAAAAGTCGTAGTTTTTATCTCGATAGCCAGTGGAGGTAAGCCCCATGTGGGGGGACTAGTTATAGCAAGGTAAAAGCTATAGTGCATTGTTTCCACTAACAGTAGACGCTGAAATAGTTAACTTATAAAAAGACACCTTTTATTGCAGTGAATACATAGCCTTGGTTTTCTCTGCCAAGGATAGTGGGGAAGATATCTATTATTTTCAGATAATAAAGACCTATTGTTAGAGACGGTTGCCAGGTGTCCAGTTTTTGACCAGAAAATATGGTCGAAAAGGGACCCGGCAGCTCTGGTTAGCACCGCTGATCGGGCCATTAAAAGTCCGGTCAGCGACGCAGCAGGACTAAGGCACGCTCCCTACCTGGCTCCACGCGGCTCCCCGGAAGCAGCGACATGTCCCTGTAGCCCCTAGGTGGAGGGATGGCCAGGGGGTCTCTGCACGCTGTTTCCATCCTGAGCACTGGCTCCGCAGCTCCCATTGGCCAGGAACCATGACCAGTGGGAGCTGTGGGGGCGGTGCCTGCAGGCAAAGGCAGCACGCACTGTGCAGAGCTGCCTGGCCGCACCTCTACCTCAGAGCCTGTCGCTGCTTCCAGGGAGTCGCCCGAGGTAAGCGCCACCTGGAGCCTTCACCCCGCACCTTCTCCCACACCCCAACCACCTGCCCCAGCCTGGAGCTCCTTCCTGGAGCCTGCACCTCATCCTGCATCCCAGCCCTCTGTCCCAGCCCTGAGTTCCCTCCCGCACCCAAACTCCCTCCCTGACACTGCACCCCATCCTGCACCCAAACCCCCTGCCCCAGCTTGGAACCCCTTCCTGCACTCCAACCCCCTCGGCCCCAGCCCGGAGTCCCCTCCTGCACCCCAAATCCCTCACCCACCCTCCGCGTCCCAGCCTGGAGCCTCCTCCTGCACCTTGAACACCTCATCTTTGGCCCCACCCCAGAGCCCGCACTCTCAGCCCAGAGCCCTCACCCCCCTCCTGCAACCCAAACCCCTGCCCCAGTTCCGAGCCCTCTCCTGCACCCTGAACCCCTCATTTCTGGCCCCATCCCGGAGCCCACACCCCCTGCCAGAGCCCTCACCCCATCCCACAGCTCAATCCTCTGCCCTAGGCTGGTGAAAATGAGCAAGTGACTGGGGGTGGTGGAGAGTGAGTGACAGAAGGAGGGGGGAAGGAGTGAGTGGGGGCGGGGCCTTGGGGAAGGGGCAGGTAGGGTTGGGGTTCAGGGCAGGGGAAAGATGTTCGGTTTTGCTCAGTTAGAATGTTTGCAACCCTATTAGAGTGCGAGGTATCAAAAGAGGTATTGAAACAAATTGATAAATTTAAAAAGCATCAATTCATCAGCGACACATCCAACAGTTCTGAATGAATTAAAGAATGATGTGTCTGAGCTGCTAACAAAAAAAATGTAATTCATTAAAATTAGCTATTGTAGTGGAGGGTATGAATGTTGTGCTTATCTTTTTAAAAATGTGGTAGGGTAACAGGAATTTCTAACCAAAGAGCCCTAATTCATACCAGGTAAATTTTGGCTGAAATAATTAAAAATAGAATTATAAAACACCTACATGAACATGGAAAGATATGCCCTGATCTTGCAAATATGTGTGTTTAAAGGCAATGGGACTAATTGGGTTTAATGTTAAGCATGTTTATGAGAGTTTTCAGGAGCAGTGTCTTAGTTTGGAATCTATTTCCAAACTGTCTTTATAATTCTTATTACCCTGTCACAAATCCATGTTCTTTTTCTAGCAAAATGACTTGTCATAGCAGTATTTTTAAATAAAATACATTTAGTAGTTTATTCAGGGTGAGAAGTGCTTTATGTTTAAGAAATTGCTTTTTAAATTGGTAGCTTTCAAACTGACTTCAGTGCCCCTTTAAAGATAAACTTACTTAATTCAATTGTGATTTAAAAAATAACCTTATTCTTGTTTAATGCTATTAATATTTTTCACAGAATCTGTCCTGATAAATCAAACACAGACTTTACAATTCTTCAAATAACATACTATTCTAGGCTAAGTTGTTATTACAATTTTAAATTTAAAAAATACCTTCATAAGGAAGTAGTCTTAAAATCTACATTCAGGATTTTCAAATGACTAGTAGTTTTTGGGTACCTTATTTAAGATGCTTTATGGGACTGACTCCTCAGAAAATGCTAAGGCCTATCTTCTAAAAATCAGACCCTTTTAAGGCATCTCAAGTTAGACGAACAAAGTTATATTTGAAAACGTACATATGCAGAAGAATATTGAAGAACTCTATTCTTCCTAGAATCATTACTACATGACATTAGTATTCAAAATTGTTAAAATTAGAATTTGCCGTACAGGATTTATGGATACCGTTTTATTCTCTATTATTCTTATAGATTTTCTTTTAGCTGTAAAATTGGTGATAAGATTTATGGTGAAGGCACTGGAAATGATAAAAAAGCTGCAAAACAGGCTGCTGCAAAACGTGCATATGAGCAGTTAAGATCTCAAGAAACGTCAAGGGTATGTACTGCATGTAGTCTGTATGTAAAGAGAAAAGCTTCATTTCTGGCTCATTCATTTTTGAATCAAGTTCCACCATCATTTGGTTAAAAACTAGTCTTGTTTGTTTCAGTTTGAGGGAGAAATAATCTTTGTCTCATAGATTGATGTTGGTGATGCTCCACTGTACAGTAGCTAAAATTCACAGTGTCTGTATAGTCAATAGCTTATTGTACCAAAAAAAAAAAATCTGTATCTCTAATTGCATATTTTAGTATATGGTCCTGTGAGTTATCATTCAGTTAAAGATGAATGCATATGACAAAAGAACTTATGAAAAAATATTTCACTACAATTTTCTTAAAAAGGAAACTTAACTAATATACTGAAATGGAATTCTCTCAGGCATAGTACAGTGCTGCTGTACAATTACTAACAGTTTTCTTAATTATATAGTTCCTTGCACTTGTGTTGGATGTGTTTAATTTGCAAATCAGAATTATTTTTTTTAATCATATGGGACCTGAGCCTGCAATGTTAGTAGAATTCAAGGGAAGTCAAGGGTGCTGAGCACCTCTTACACATGCCTAACTGTGATATCACACTTTTTGCTTTTAATCTGAAACTTCAGTGTCTCTTACTAAGTGAAAACAAAGGGATGGAAAAAGGCAAAAACTCAGTGATTACGTAGGACTAAATTTTCAGCCAGCTCTAAATTTGTAATGCAGACTTTGCATGCTCATCACTTTGCATGCCCAGTTACTATATAGATGGGGAAATTAGATGCAGAAGCCTGTTTATGCATACACTTCTATTTTTCCACATGCAAAATTGCATGTACAATTACCAGCTCTGAAAATTTTGCCCTCAACTAACGAATACTGTTTTTTGGTCCTAATTCTTAATGGGGCCTCATCCTTGCATCCCTTGTTACTCTTGCAAATGAGGGAATGTACTATAAATGTCTCCTGGATTTGTGGTCAAGATCTGGTCATAAGATATTTACAAATCTCTACTTTTGCTGATATTTATTTGCAGGTGTGAAAAAGGATGTAAAGTTTTTAAATACCTGGGGCAAAATCCTGGCCACACAAAAGTTAATGGAGAAATTCCCACTTCAATGGGGCCAGTGCCTTCAATTTCACCCCAGTGCTTTAAAGTTAAGCATGTGCATAAACTACTCCCGAGGGAATTCTGCGCCAGAATATTAAAAATTCTGCACATAATATTTTAAAATTCTGCAAATTTTATTTGTCAATAAAAAATGGGGCTCCAGCATGGCAGTGGGGAGCACAGTCCACTGGCTGCATTGAGGTGGGAGATCACTCTGGAAGTCCTCACCTCCCCTGGTACAGGGACTCGGCAGTGAGGCTGCACCCGACACTGACACAGTCCAAGGGCTGGGAGTGGTTGGGCAGGCTCAGCCTAGCAGGATCCCAAATGTGGAGGGGCTTAGTGTGGGGGGATCAAGGTGTGGGGGTGAGAGGTTTCTGTGTAGGGCAGTCTGGGTGCAGGCCGCTCAGTGGGAGATCTGGATGCACGGGGGCTCGTTGGGGGGTTCTGGGTGTAGGGGCAATGGGACTTTGCAGGGGATCTAGGTGAAGGTGGTTGGAGCTCAGCAAGGAGGTCTGGATGTGGGGAGATGGGGCTTTGTGGGAGGTGGTGTCTGGGTGCCGGTGGAGTGGGGCTTGATGGGGTGGAGCAGGTGCAGCTGGTTGGGGCTCAGTGGGGGTGAGAGTCTGGGTATGGAGGACTCATTGGGGGGGGGTCTAGGTGTAAGGCAGTAGGGCTTGTCATGGTGAAGGTTCGATGGACCTGCTTAATGGGGGAGCACCAGCTGCTGCCAAGGGGATGCTGCATGCCGGGCGCCCACTTCCTCCCGCAGTTCCCCTGTGCCCTTTTCCTCCCAATCTCATCCCTCCCCCTGACTCCCACATTCCCCTCCCCCTTACCCAGCCCTACCACAGGCACTCACTGTTGCACAGAAAAGAGTAAGGCTCCCAGCACCCGGAAGGGGAGCATGACTGGCACTAGGACTCAGGAGATGGCGTTCAGCTGCAGAGTCAGCAGAGCCAAGATGCAGCCTCCTTCAGTGGGAAGCTCTGCACTTGCAGAAACGATGGGGAGGGGCAGTGGCACGTAACCCTGTGTGCCCCCCATGCCTCACCTCTGTTGGGGGGGGGAATCTCCCCCAAAAGCTGCGCCCATGGTCATCCACCCCATCCCCCAATCCCTTGTGTGGCTGCCCTTTGCAGGGAAGCACAGGAATTCTTGCGGTGTGTGTGGATGTTTTGTGCAGGTGCGTAGTTGCACAGAATTCCCCCAGGAGTCATAAACACCTTCCCCAGCTGGGGCTTTAGTGTTTAATGTAGTTCCAATAACTTTTTTTGAAACTCCATTGTTTTTGTCATTTTAGAATGTTGTCATTTGTAGTAGCAAAGCTTTGACTGGTAGGTATCAGGTTTTTTTTTTCTTTCTTTTTATATATATATACAGGCAGGGAGACACGCAGCTGTTGCCAGTTCTGCAGATCGTCTACTTAGTAATTCTAGTGGAATGTCAAGCTGGTCATCTGCAAAGTAAGTTGGAACCATTAATATTGTGATGTTTAACATAGTGCATTTGCTTATAACTGAAGAACTAGTTGAGAGCATTTTAAGCCAAATCTGTTGCTGTCTTTTCACTTGTGAATTAATCAGTTGTATTTTAAGCCTGTTTCTTTATCTACAGATCAAGAATATATTTTAATTGTGCAATTACATTTAATTTTTTTATATTTTTTGTAATATATTTTATGATACACAGATTTTTCGGCTATCCTGAATGCTTTCTTGTTGAGCACCAGTAATTATTTTAGAAGCATTTCTACTTGATGTGAAAAGAAGTGTCACTCCATTGAAGTTTTCAGAAGCCGATTTTGTATTATGACACTGCTTTGTTGAATGGATATCCATTCTTTTCAGTAATTTCTGTGTACCACATTATAATTTCTGATATACCGCTTCTCTCTTCATTCTCCATCAATCAAAAGAGGCATGAATCCAAAAAGGCACAACCTATTCATGGAGAATGAAGAGAGAAGTTGCTAGCAAAAAGAAAATTATGGTGAGAAATTTTCCAGGCTGTCCTGGGACCCCTTGGCACCAGCCTATTGTGCTTGTTGGTTAATTTGGCTCTCGTATCACCACTTTACTCTCTTTGATGCCCTGTGTAGTGTTAAAGAGCAGCTATATTCTGTACCGGTGGTGGCGTCACTGCATTGAAATGATCTCTGTACCTAATCTATTTTACCATAGTGAGAATACATTACTAACATTTATAAATCACATTGACATAATAGGATGAAATCCATTATAGAAATAAGTATTTTATAATAAAATGTGATTGAATTACAAGAATTGTGTTACAAGTGAAGTTTTGTATTTTAAATTAATTCACATAATCCTTTTTCTGTTGTATCAAGAATTGTAGTTTTAATTCAAGAATTGTTTGAAGGAGAAATATTGAAATCCATTTTTCCCCTTATAGTGGTACTGATTCTGCATCTAAAAATATGAATTCAGATGGGAGCTTGGTAAATAAAATGAATGACCTGAAAGTAGGTGAAGATTGTTCATCTTCTTGGGTACAGTATGAAAGCCTTTATTCCTCATGTTAAATTTTAGACTGTCATTATTTTACTCTTGTTCATAATGTTCACTTTTAATGAAGATGTGGATAACAGAGCTACTATCTCCAAAATATTTAAGTTGCACATAGGTAAAACTGGATACTTGAGGCTGCTAATGTCTAGATCTAATTCTTGAAGTTAGTATGTCCTCAAATACTTTGCTGGAAGTGGAATGTGGCCCTAGTGCAGAGTATAGTAGTTCCTCTCTTGAGTGGGATAAACCATTCGGCGTACACAACATGAGGTTTCTGCTCCGCACTAGCTGCCTGTTAACCTTGAACCACTCCCCAAAAGAAACATATGTGGCTTCACTCCTGCATTGTGATCTGTGTAAGTGGACTGCTGTGTCACTGACTTCATGGGGGCTAAATGCAGGTTCAGCAGTTGGCCTGTGAGGGTGACAATGCTGGATTGAGGCCTAAAACTACCAATAAATTGGAGCCTAATCTTCTGAGATTGCTTCACTCCCTCTGTTTCACCGCACGAGTTAAGAACTGCTTCCTCTAGCAGCCTGTTAGAGCCCGAGTTAGGGGAGTTTCAGAGCATAGTGCAGTATCCATTTTCTCCTCTACCCACAATGGTTATCGTTACAAAATATATCTGAATGTTATTTAAAATGTTCATTATCTTTTTACCATCATTCTCACTAAACATACGCTAGGTCAGATTTGCTGCTGGCTTAAACAGGCATATTTCCATGGAAGTTGATGGACCTATGCTTGTACATTGAATGTAACTGATGCATGTTGTTAAGAATCATGATGTCATACTTAGAGCTGGGGGACACTTTTGAGTCAAAACTTCTTTCAGCAAAAAGTGCAGATTTGGCTATGCTGAAACGGTTCTGGAATTTGTGTCAATTTTGCTAAACTGTTTGGTGTAAAATATATACAAATATATACATATATTCTGAAAACTTGAAATCTTATTTCAGCAATTTTTAAATTAAATGTTATTTTTTCAGTTCAAAATTACTTTTCAGTTTGAAATTTCCTTTAATTTTAAAAATGTTAAAAAATGCTCAAAATAGAAATATTTAGTTTTAGCTTGAACTAAATGTTCTGTTTGATCAAAATGAATTTTTCCCAACTTCTGATTCATCAAAAAGTTTGAAGAAAATAGCTTTGGGGTTTTGACAAACTCCAGGATTGCCAGCGAACTCTGAAAAATCCATTATTCGCACAGCTCTAGTAATATCCAGGTTTCATGAGGAATTTAAACTGAAGGTTGACATCAAACAGATGAGCCAGCCAGTCTAAATATGGCTTTGGACAGCTGGTAGCCACATCCTAATCCATATTAGAATAATAATGATCATAATTTAAAACAGTGAATATATTTGTTTTTCTTTTTTGATATAGGCAACTCCCAAAAATGCTGCCATGAAACCAAAGAGGTGCGTAATTACTTTGCTTTTAAATATATATGTTCTGAAATTAATATTGCAAACCCAGTTTTAGTGGCTTTGATACTTGACTAAAACATGACACCAAAAATATCTCCAGGTAAATTTCTTTTCTCTATTCATTTGTTACAAGGTTTTATTGTAATTTTTCTTTTTTCCCTAAGAAGAGAGATCGCAACTAAATTGGCACCCTCATTCTCGGGTCAGCAGGTCAAGGAAGAGAAAAAAGAAAATAAGTACACTAAGGATGAAAGGTGAGAAGTAGATTTTAAGTAAGAGGTGTATAGTTATTGCAATGATGGGTTAGATTTCCCTGACTAACAGTTTTGCATGGGAGGAATTCTATTTACAAGCATATGGAAAGTGCCACTTGTGGGTGAAGTATAGGTATTTCCTATAATAAGAATGTTTATATTTGGCATTTGTGCATCTCTGTAGAATGTTTCTTCATTTTTTCCTCTACACATGAGAAATGGGTGGTGCTACAAATGTTGTAATAAAAGAAAATGGGTGGACTGCTTCTGTTCTTATGAAAATTCCAAATGTAAATGTCATAAGCATGTAAAATAGAGTAGGAATGCCTCTAATCCAGGGGTTCCCAAACTTGGTTCACTGCTTGTTCAGGGTAAGCCCCTGGCGGGCCACGAGACACTTTGTTTACCTGAGGTTTGAGTATCTCCTGTAAGATGATGCTTAGCGTCTCTCAGGAGATGTTCTGCAACTTTCAGAATCAGACTCATACTTTCCAAAATTAATGCTAGGGCTGATTGTGGCTAAAATTATTATTTTTATTATTATTTATTTTATTATTTTAAAGACTTATCAAGGATTTTGAAGAGATAGAGCCAATTGGCAGCGGTGGATTTGGGAATGTTTTCAAAGCAAAACAAATTATTGATAAGAAGAACTATGCTGTCAAACGAGTCAAGTGTAGCAAGTAAGTACTGTACATCTGCTTGCTTTTATTTGAAAGGACACTCTCAAGCAGTTTCTGTAGATGAAACTGTTTGTTTGTAATAATCTCTTAAAAGTTTAAGTAATTTTCCTTTACAGTATTGTCCATTCTATCTGACAAACATGTTTATTCCTCTGTTCTCAGTGGAGCTGAAATGAGTGTGCTGTCTTTTGATGTTTGCTTCTCTGTGCACTAGAATTATAGTCCAGCACAGCATAGGAAACAGGATTTGTTAACTTGTGCACTCTCTTTGTTAATGTTGTGCCAATATTTAAAGAGAGAAAATGGGATGACCAGATAATCATAGGGATGTCAACCTGACATTAATCCTGGGCAAGATGATGGAGCGGACAAAAGGGCAAATGCATTCCTTGGATGCATAAACAGGGGAATCTCGAGTAGGGACAGAGAAGTTATTTTACCCCCAGGGTACAATCTGGACTGTGGCACTGTTGTGCCCCCTTAAGTCTCCAGCTTAGGATACCTCTCACACTGCTCTGCTAGTGAAAAGCAGCCCCTCCAGGTTTTGCTCCACCCACCACCCTGACATTATCATCAAAGAGGCTGATAAAGGAGGTGCTGTTGTCATCATGAACAGGTCTGACTACCAGAAGGAGGCTGCCAGACAACTCTCCAATACCAAATTCTACAGGCCACTTTCCTCAGATCCCACTGAGGAATTTTTCACTTGACTGCACCATCTACTCAGGACACTCCCTACACTAACACAGGAACAAATCAACATACCCTTAGAGCCCCGACCGGGGTTATTCTATCTACTACCTAAGATCCACAAACCTGGAAATCCTGGACGCCCCATCATCTCGGGCATTGGCACTCTCACTGAAGAACTGTCTGGATATGTGGATTCCCTACTCAGACCCTATGCCACCAGCACTCCCAGCTATCTCCGTGACACCACAGATTTCTTGAGAAAACTACAATGTATTGGTGACCTCCCAGAAAACACCATCCTAGCCACCATGGATGTAGAGGCTCTCTACACAAACATCCCACACACAGATGGAATACAAGCTGTCAGGAACAGTATCCCTGATGATGACACAGCACAACTTATTGCTGAGCTCTGTGACTTTATCCTCACGCACAATTATTTCAAATTTGATGACAATATATACCTCCAGACCAGTGGCACCGCTATGGGCACCCGCATGGCCCCACAATATGCCAACATTTTTATGGCTGACCTGGAACAACGCTTCCTGAGCTCTCGTCCACTCATGCGCCTTCTCTACCTACGCTATATTGATGACATCTTCATCATCTGGACCCACGGGAAGGAGACCCTGGAAGAATTCCACCATGATTTCAACAGCTTCCACCCCACCATCAACCTCAGCCTGGACCAATCTACACGGGAGGTCCACTTCCTAGACACCACCGTACAAATAAGCGATGGCCACATTAACACCACCCTATACCGAAAACCCACCGACCGCTACGCCTACCTTCATGCCTCCAGCTTCCACCCCGGTCACACCACACGATCCATTGTCTACAGCCAAGCACTGAGGTAAAACCGCATCTGCTCCAACCCCTCAGACAGAGACCAACACCTACAAGATCTTCACCAAGCATTCTCAAAACTACGATACCCACACAAGGAAATAAAGAAACAAATCAACAGAGCCAGACGTGTACCCAGAAGCCTCCTGCTACAAGACCAGCCCAAGAAAGAAACCAATAGAACTCCACCGGCTATCACCTACAGTCCTCAGCTTAAACCTCTCCAACGCATCATCAGTGATCTACAACCCATCCTGGACAATGATCCCTCTCTTTCACAGACCTTGGGAGGCAGGCCAGTCCTCGCCCACAGACAACCTGCCAATCTTAAGCATATTCTCACCAGCAACCACACACCGCACCATAACAACTCTAACTCAGGAACCAACCCATGCAACAAACCTCGATGCCAACTCTGCCCACATATCTACACCAGCAACACCATCACAGGACCCAACCAGATCAGCTACACCAGCACCGGCTCATTCACCTGCACGTCCACCAATGTTAT